TGACTCGCATCATCCCATTTCACTTTCTTCACCACTCTGCCAGGCAGGCGCTAGCATTCTCCCCATTTTCCAGGTGAGGAAACTGAGGTACAGGAGTACAGGAGAGGTTAAGTAACTTGTCTGAGAGAGAGCAGAGCCTGAACTTACGACTCCGGAGCCCAGACTTTAACTGCTACCTTACAGAAAGCCACATCAGAGCTTCATGCTGCCGCCCAGATACCGATTGCACTCACTGACCTTTCAGCGCCCGCCCTGCCTCCGCAGTCAGGGACCCCAGCTCCACCCCCTGGGCTTTCAGTAATGATGCGGACATTTTCTTGCTGCCTTCACACAGCTCCTTTCTCTCTGAAGGTGTAAACGTTTTCCTCTTACCTCTTCGGTCAAATTAGCCAACCCTGCTCCACCAAGGTGGCCTTAATTGGATCTAATTTCCCAGACAGGAAGAGCCATCTATCATGGCGACAAGTTCATGTTTAAAACTTTTTAGAGATTAATTTCTTCCTCGCCCTGCCAATTAATCGACACCACCCCACCCAGGATCGTGTCTAGGCAGGCAGACCTTGGCCAGTCTTTCATTCCAGGCCTCAGCACCTTCGCTGCCCTGTCCCTCACCCCCAGCTCCCTTCTCAGCCCTGCGCAGGCCAGCATGGAAGGGAGGGAAGTATGACAGTGGAAGGGGTCCCAGTGACCGTCTGGCCCCTTGTTTCATGATAAGATAAAACAAGCACAGAGAAGTTAAGTAACTTGCTTCAAGTCGCACAGCTCAGGCAGTGGGGATAGAAATATGGATAGCACACAGTCTCTACCCTTGGAGAATTCTCACAGTCGATTGGAAGAAAACCAGCACTTTCTGAGTCGGGAGCTTCATCTATAATTAATCCTCACCACAGCTCTGATTCAAAGGCCTACTCATCGCCATCTCACAGATGAGAAGACGGAGGTTTGGAGAAATTTAGTAACTTTCCCAAGGCCAGGCATCTGGGAAGGGCCATCATCAGATTCAAATCTGGGTCTCACTGTCCTCAGAGCATAAGCTCTTTCCCATGCCCGTGCGAGGTGGCAAGTGGCCCGTGTGCTGAAGCCGGCTGGTACTGGCTCACTCCTGCCCTGACAGCCTATTGTATGCACCTCTCCCCAACTCCATGTCAGTGCCATCAAGCTGGTCATTTACAGAGGGGCCCTGGTGGGGATGTTTACACCATGGCAATGGGCAGATGCCTCTTTTTCTCTTGGTGACCTGGTTGTCCAATAGTTCCCAGCACTCAACTACCAAGGTGACTGCCATATTTTTGTGAGACCAAAATACAAAGAAAAGGCAAAAACAACTGGCAAAAGTTGTGGTCTATTGTTAATGTTTATCTTTAATAGAATAGTTTATATGCTAAATAAACTTCAAGGCAATGTAACTATGTTACAGGCAATTAAGGAAATGATTTTATAGCTATGAATTCTCAGTGCCCTGTAGGTTGCACTGTCCGGTGATGAGGGACAGTGGGGACATGTGTGAAGCTCTCGATGTGTTGGAAGTCTAATGAGGGGTCCCTGGTGTCTGAGCTCGAAGCCAGATGGCCCTTCTGCCCCATTTTCCAGCCACCAGCCCCAGAGTTGGCCTTGGTTTTCCCACATTTGAAAATACCTCCTCCTCATGGAGTTATATTGCCCAGCTTTGGGGTTCCACTTCCCAAGGTGTGAGTGCTCTCCCCTCCCTCCGTGAGCACCGTCTCACCACCCCAGCATATATGCACACATGTACGCACACTGCCAGCTCATTTGATCTTGCAAGCGCCTCTCTTTCATACTCTCCCTCACTCTATTTTCCCCTCTCTCCCTCCACAATCTCTCCCTGGCCCACCCAAACCCTCTCTCCCGCACCCCTCTCTCCTGCAGGTGAGCTCACCACCACCTCCCTGCTGGACCGTGAGACCAAGTCTGAATACATCCTCATCGTACGAGCAGTGGATGGGGGCGTGGGCCACAACCAGAAAACTGGCATCGCCACCGTGAGTGCCCCCCCTCACGCCCCCCAGCTCCTCGCTCGCCATCCAGGCCACTGCCCCCAGCTCTTCTTCAGGCTACACCTCTAGGCCCCTAGGCACTTTGTCCTGAGGTAGCGCGAGGCACCATGGGAGCGGAGTGAGGGTGGCTACCAACGAGATGTCAATCACCAACTTGCTGTCAGCTAAGGTCAGCCCTGCGGCCACCACGTCTGTGAGAAGAAAGGCATTCCCACCTGGGACAAGGGGGCACTGGGAGGAGCAAATATTTTCTCCTCTGCCCCTAAAAGACCAGCTGGCCAGGTAGGAGAAGGCAGGAGACCCACAGGCCCCTCCCAATGGGCTCCTAGAGGAGCAGGTATTTCCCTGAGTGGCTCAGAGCCAGAAGTAGGGCCCTTGGAGGGTCCCTGGAGCTTGCACCACCCCACCCCTAACCCTGAGATGTGAGCAAGTAGGACCCTTGAGGGGCCAGAGCCCCATGCAAGGCCTTGTCACCCCACCAAGGTGGGCAGGAAGCTAGAGGAAGGACGGTTGAGGGTCCTGACTGAGCTCTGGCTGCAGAAGAGAATGGGGGAGCGCAAAGCAGCAAACGCCTGTGGGAGAGGAAGCAGGAAGGCCGCTTCCAGGTGATCCCGTCACCTGCCCCCCGTGATCTTTATGTGCTTCCTTTGGCTCTCCCTCAGGACCCTCCCCTGACCTCTCCCCATGGCCCTTCCCGCCCCCTATCAGCTGCCCCAGCCACTGCCCCAGCCTTGCCCAGCCAGAGAGGCTGGGGTTGGTATTGGTTGGCCAGGGACTTGGAAGAAAAGTCCCCAGTGCCTTACTCAGCCATGGGAGGCCCCCGCTAATAGGATTCTGAGCTCCATAAATAATTTACCTGGTGACAGGTGAGCCGGGAAATTGCTTGGTGTATAGCTGAGACTGACTTGGACGCTCAAGGGATCCTAGTAGATGCCCATCCTAAACCTCCCCTACCCTGTCAGTCACCTTTAGTCCAGACCAGGGGTGGGTGGGACAAGTCCCAGGTCACAGGAGGGATGTTAGGGGTTATCTCCTCTGTTCCTCTGCCTCCTGATGGGGCAGCACCTCACCCCTCTGAAGGTCCTGCTTCCCCCAGCCAGGCCCTGACCTGGTGGAATTAATGCCCAGGCCCTGACCTGGTGGGATTAATGCCAAGATGCTCTACAGGCATCTGAATGTGTCCCCTCCCTCGGCACTGTCCTGGTGCAGCCAGGCAAGGTGCACCCCACAGCGCCCCTTGTGGTTTCACAGGTCAACATCACCCTCCTGGACATCAATGACAACCACCCCACCTGGAAGGACGCTCCCTACTACATCAACCTGGTGGAGATGACCCCTCCAGACTCTGATGTGACCACGGTACGTGGTGGTGGGACAGGGAACTCCCGGTCTGCCCTGCCCAGGGGTGTCTGCCCTTCCGGCATGAGCTCTGTGGGCCTGCCCATGGGGCTGATGGATTCATGTTTCCTCTGCGCCAGCTCTTGGAGCGAAGTTCCTGGAGCTCTCTGCACGGTGAAGGGTAGTCAGAGGTCAGGGGACAGCCCTCACTCCGTCCTCGGGGACATGGGGCTTCAGACTTCGTAGCCAAGAGAGTGCAGCATCCCAGGGCTGGTTCAGCTGGTAGCCACGCTTGCCCTGAGAGCCCAGGACTCTGGTGACAACCCAGCCCCCACCTCCCCGGGCAAGGCACAGGTCCCTCCCTCAAATACCACAGACTTCAGATCTGCCCTCAGCACCTTCACCGCTTCTGTCACCACAGCCACCAGTCAGCTGGCCCAGGGCGGCCCAGCAGGGGCTTTGATGGTCACCCAGGGATCTGCTGGCACGGGGGTGTCAGGTCTGCACAGACCCCTGTGCGTGCTGTGAGCAGGATGTGACTCGGGTGGGAAGGAGAGACAATGGCCAAAGTCTCGGGGCATCCACAGTAGATGTCCCGGGGAAGCTGAGGAAAGTCAGGGATGAGCACCCCTCTTTGTTCTCCCCATACTTGTGCCCCGTTTGGTCTCATTTCGGGAGGCTTGTCCCCTGCCCCACAGCCACCCAGCCAGCCCCGTGATGGACGTGAACCTAACAGCTCATGGCAGCCCTGTTTTATCAAATGTCTGGATGTGCCAGGCGCTGTGCGGGGGTTTTCTCATGAATCCTCTCATCCTCGTGACAATTTCACGTGGCAGATGGATTCATTGCTACCATCGTACTATGGAGGACAGAGACTTAGAGTGTGAGGGGTTTGCCCAAGCTCCCAGAGCCAAGACTCAAACCCAGGTCTGTCTGACTTTGAACTACCCAGCCCCGCAGTCCTGGTGCCCCTGCTGGCTCAGGGGTGCCCTGGCAGGTGGTCCGGGTCCTGAGAACCTGGAGAACCCGGTGGGGTTGGGGAGGGACGGGAACTGTCACATCCAGCAAGGCTGCCCCACCCTGAGCTCGAGCAACCGCGGGCTGCAGGTGCCTAGCCTCCCTGCCCCCACTCTTCATCAATGAGAGAGAGAGAGAGAGAGAGAGAGAGAGAGAGAGAGAGCCATCACACCTTCCTATCCTCTTTTCTGTGTTTTCAACATTTGAATGGTTCTCACCTGCTGGGCACATCCCCTCCCAGAGAGTCCAGTAGATCAGGGGCAAGGAATCTGGGACGCGGTTTTTCAAAGCCCTGGTGGGAGAGCGGATTCCTTTCAGCCCGGCCAGGGTAGGACACCTGGACCCTGGGCCATTTCCAGACTCTCTCTCTCTAGGACTCCACACCTGATGGGCTCTCTCTGCTGCCACCTCGTGGGCACTTGGGCTCTAGCCCTGGACAAGCCCAGCCAGGGACCCCAAGAGCTGGGGTTGGATGCCCACCTCTGAACACCTGAACTCTTACCTTTGCTTTATATTTCTGGGACTCTCCTCCCACAGGGAGCTGAGGGCACGTGAGGGAGGTGTACCAGCCAAGGGTGCCATTATCGAAGTCCACCTGCTGGGACTACACCGGCCTCGGGCTTTTGGCAGATCTGGTCCCCAGGGGCCTTCTGTGGTCGCCAGCCTTTCCTCACATCCTTCTGAGCCCAGAGCGGGTATAGACAGTGGGCCCGGGGCCTGCTGCCCAGCAACTCCTCCCTCTCCAGGAAACCTCAACAAGCGCTCGGTGAGCACCTACTGTGTGCCACGCCCCGCATTGGAGCCCAGGAAGCAGCACTGCTTCTGCTCTGCCCTCAGGGAGTTTCCTGACACTCACACCCACCACTGGGCCCATCTCACCCTGTGGAAGAGCCAGAGTCCCCGCCAGACCCCCGTCACCCCTGGGGAGACAGACACGGGAGCCCGCCCCTCAGCGCAGGACAGACATGCCCGTTGCTCCCCCAGCTCGGGCAGCCAGGGTGGGGGCGCTTGAGCCTTTCAGTGACCATGGCACTGAGACCTGAAAAAGAATGCAGTGGCTCAGAAGTCCCAAAGGGGAAGAGCCAAATCAGAATTAAAGCTTGTGTTAAACCGCTGCCGAATGTTATGGCACTTTAGTAATTATGAAATTTAGTATTTGTAAAACTCATTACAAAAAAACACACACAAAACTCATTGCACACGAGGGCAAATTATCACTTAGGTTTTCTAGAATTCTTAGAATTTTCCAGAATTCTCTGGAATTTCCAGTTATGTGTAATGATTGCCAGGAAACCAGAAGTCAGAGAGGTCATACATTAATCGAGTTTGTCACAGCAAAATAATTTCAAAAGGGATAGTCATACAATTCTTTCAGCTGTCATAGCTATGAGACATATGTATGCGAATATATGTGGCATATGTTTTAATACCTTTGAGGGGCCCCCTGCTGAGGCCTCACAGTGGCCCTGGGTGAGGTGGGGGCTGTTGCTGAGGTGTGAGGAGAGGAGGCTCCAGAGGTGACGGGAGGCTGACCCACTTCCTGACTTATCTCCCACCACCCTCCTCACCCACCGCCCCCCTCGCCCCAGTACTTACGCTGCCTCTCAGTGTCTGAACCCACTCAGCTCTTCGTCCCCCTCCCCACCCCTGCCAGAGTGTTCCTCCTCTACTCCCCCAGCCCTGCTCTCTCCATGGCCGGCTCATTCTCCTCCAGTCTCCCAGATGAAAATGCCACCTCCACAGAGAAGCCCTCCCTAACTACCCTGCCTAATGTAGCTCTGCCCCCCCGCCCCCGTGTTTCTTTCAGAGCTGGTTCCCCAAACCTGTGCTTGTTTGTTGGGTTCCTTGCTTATTAAGAGACAGTAGAGCACAGTGATTCAGTGAGCAGCCTCTAGTACCAAAATGTCTAGACTCTCATTTTGGCCATGCCTCTTACTGGCTGTGTGACCTTGGGCAAGTGACTTAACCTCTCTGTGCTCATCTCCTCATCTGGAGAATGGAGGTAGCGTCCCCACCTGAAAGAGTTGTAGTTCATACTTAATGAGCCAAAATACACAGGCACATGGTGAGAGGTTGATAAATGGTAGCTATTGTTGCCATCATCTGCCTCCCCTGCTGGAATCACATCTGTCTTGTTCCCTGTTGAGCCCCTGTGCCAGGCACATTGTGTGCTCACAATATTTGCGAATGAAAGTTGTTGAAGGCCTTATTCACCTTTCTGCCCCCGGGCTCTGCCAGGTTGGGCGGGGTCTTCTTTGTCCGAGAGAGACTAGGACGAATGAACTGGGACTTTCCCAATGCGCCCCCCCCCCCAAGGGGCCACTGGCCC